CCTGCCTCAGCTCGCCCCACTCCAGAGCCAGCTTGTGCACCCCGGCCTGCTGCACTCCTCCCCAACGGCGTTCCGGGGCCCCCCTTCGGCCAACTCCACTGCCGCCCTCCACCCTTCCTCCAGGCAAGGCAGCCAGCTGAACCTCAATGACCATTTGCTGGGCCACTCTCCAAGCTCTACAGCCACAAGTGGGCCCGGTGGAGGCGGCCGGCACCGTCAGGCCAGCCCCCTGGTGCACCGGCGGGACAGCAACCCCTTCACCGAGATCGCCATGAGCTCCTGCAAGTACAGCGGCGGGGTCATGAAGCCCCTCAGCCGCCTCAGCGCCTCCCGCAGGAACCTCATAGAGGCCGAGCCGGAGGGCCAGCCCCTGCAGCTCTTCGGTCCCAGCAACGCCCCCGAGATCGTCATCTCCTCCAGGGAGGACAACCATGCCCACCAGACCCTGCTCCATCACCCCAATGCCACCCACAACCACCAGCATGCCGGCACCACTGCCAGCAGCACCACCTTCCCCAAAGCCAACAAGCGGAAAAACCAAAACATTGGCTATAAGCTGGGACACAGGAGGGCCCTGTTTGAAAAGAGAAAGCGACTCAGTGACTATGCTCTGATTTTTGGGATGTTTGGAATTGTTGTTATGGTGATAGAAACCGAGCTGTCTTGGGGTTTGTACTCAAAGGTAGGGGCTGTGGTTTCTTTATACCTTAAACAGAAGGGATATGTCGGTGTGGGGAGAGGGAGAGACTGGGGGAGCTTGGGGGAGAGTGACAGAGGTGTGTGTGTGTGGGAGAGGCACTGTCCAGTTGGATGGAACACTCTTAACTTCCCATGGCTCTCTTCCTGATCTTGGGAGAATTCATTCCTCACTTCCTTTTCAGGGGGCTCCCCATGCCCTGGGTCTGATTGTAGACTGTTAGGGAGGATTAAAGAATCCCTTCTGAGACATCATTTTTCCTCCTGGCTCACTTGTACTAAAGCATAACCCAGCAGCTTAACGCACCAATTAATTACACTCTACCGTGATGTGTTTGCCAGTTCCTGCGACTTCCCTTCTCTCCTCCCCTCCCTGCTCCACTCCATTTTCCCCAGGATAAAAAAGAAATAAATGTCTGGGTGGGGGTGGGGATTCCCTACCGTGGCCCAAGACTCTTCTCTTCCTGTCTTCTCGTTCTTTCCCCAAGTTTCTGCTTCCCGGAGAGACTCTGGGGCAAAATAGAAAGACACCCATGATTTGAGTCTCCCAAGGGCATCAGGGAATAAAATAGGTAGAGGAAATCAGTGGTCCCTTCCCTCAGGAAGGAGGACTGGGAATAAGCCTGCCACGGCCTCATAAACATCCCCTGGTAAAATGGCTACAGGTGTTACTGAGTGCAGCACATGGGCGCTGCCTGGGCACCAGCCGGGGTGGGGAGGGCACCCCTCTTCAGGATGGAGCGACAGGGCTTCCCTAGTGGTCGCTGAGCCCGCGCCCCCAGCTTGGCCCGGTTCTCCCCTACCACTCCAACTCCTTCTCCACAGGATAAATAAAGGTGTGTGTGTGTGTGTGTGTGTGTGTGTGTGCGCTCACGCCTGGATGGAGAACAGCAGGCTTTAGGGGGTACTGGCCCTGCTGCTCCAGCCTCAGTCCAGTCCCAAGACGGAGGAGGGGGTTCCCCCAGAGGGAGCAGAGATGGAGAAGGTGGGTTTCTATGGATGCTGTGTTTGTGGGGCGCGTGGGGGGCTCCTGCTGTGGACTGGAAGGCATGGAGACTTGGAGAATTGTGTTCGTGTGTGTGTGTGTGTGTGTGTGTGTGTGCACGCGCGCACGCGTGTGCGCCTGCTTGTTGCTTGGATTTCTCTATTTATTTGTCATTTTGGGCAGGGGGTGGCTGGGCTGGCTGGCGGGTAGCTGGGAGGGGTTCAGCTGTTGGAGGCTTCAAATAGAGCTTGTTTCAGGCAGGGCACAGCTGCTGGGAGACTGTCACATTCCTTGTTGAAATCCAGTCGCAAAAACCTAGGAGGTGCTGATCGGATTTCCCCCCTTCCCGGCATCTCCCTGAAAGCAGCAATGGGTAGATTTGCCCGGGGTGGGGCGGACCTGTCAGCTGTACTCAGCTTCCAGGTGGAGGGTCCTCCAGCCTGGCTGTTCTGCAGGTCTACCCCAGCCCAGGGCAGCCCTTGGAAGCCGCCTTAGTCTAAACAGCTCACAGATGATCCCCTCCAGGGCGGCAGCGGCAGCAGCAGCAGCAGCAAGCAGAAGCCAGTGGGGTTTCCCCTGGAAGCGCAGCTCACTTAGTCATTGTCGGTAACGAGTCCCTCTGCTCTCTGCTTCTCCCAGCCACCTCTCCCGCTGGGACCGGGCTCCCCACGCATCCCCTGGGGTCAGGAGTCCCTGCAGCAGGGATCTGACCCGGGGATCCTTGCAGGCTCAGATGATGGGGGGCAGGGTGACACCAGCACTGCCCATGTCCGTAGAAGCGCCTCAGGAAATGGCTCTTCCGAGACAGCGGCTGTGCCATTTCTGGTGTGGGATCCCTGCTCATTTGTCTGAGTGTCAGCAGAGGCCTGTGCCGGCAGGAAGGAGCCAGTTCCCTCCATGGGCAGGTGCCGCTCTGTTACAGCATGCAGTGCAAGGGGCCTCCCCGGAGGAGGGAAGGCAGGCCAAGGAGAATGGGGCCAGGTGACCCGAGGAGTGGCTCCCCCTGGCCCTTCGGGTCAGAGCGGGCACAGAGTGGGCGGCCGCTGGGAAGTCCTGCCTGCCTCAGCTGGGGAACACCACTTCCTGTGACCTCGGGGCTGGACTTGGACAGGCAGGGCTCGCCGTGACCTGTCCGTCCTTCTGGGCCCTCCAGCTTGGAGACGTCCACTAGAGCACGCATTTCTGAGTGACCTGTGTGTCAGGGCTGTGGACGCAAGGGGAGGCGAGGAGGGCTGAGACCCTGTGGCAGATGGGTCCCTGCCAAGGCCGGGCACTGACATGAGGGTTCCCTCTGCCGCTTCTGTCGTGTGGCCGTGGGTCAGTCGTGCGGCTCTGCCAGCCTGCTTCCTGCTGTGGGGAGTTAGACAGGCGAGCACATGGCCCTCCGTACAGTGTCCGCTCAACCAGGGGCATGTTGGGTGGTTACCGATGGTGACGATGGCAGTGAGAGAGGGAGACGATTTTCCCTGTAATTTAACTCTGGCTCTAGGATCAGCTAGGAACTGAGACTTGTGAATGGAGGACAGAAGTCCTGGGAGGGGACCACTGTGGCTAATACCACCTTGAGACGGGGTCTGTGTGGCAGGTTAGCGTCTGCCCTAGTTTCACGGAGGAGGCTGGGGAGAGGAGTTTGGCTTAGAGAGAAGAGAGCTGACCACGCTCAGGCGTGCTGGCCGGGTGAGTGCCGTGCTTGCTGGATGGCTTGTTTGTCTGGCTGGCTTGCTGACTGGTCTGACAGCCAGGAGGACACCAGTGAGCCCGGGCAGTTCTGTCTCCCCTGGCAGACTCCACCCAAAGGCCCTGGGCGGGCACACTCTTTCTCCCAGGGGACTGAAGATGTACTGCCCTGAGCCGGGCTGCTGCTTTCTGAAGTCCTGGCTTTTATATATTAGTTGTGGCTTCCTGTGTGCTCTCTGTGGCTGGTGTATGTTGCTGGAAAGGAATTCAGCTCTCAGGCCGGATCTAGAAAGGGAACATGGTGTGTACCCTGGCGTGTTCAAAGTTCGTGCAAAAGGGAGCCAGTGTGAGGAGGCTGAGAAATCAGGACAGAACATCCCGCTCCCACCCTCACAGGCTGTAGGCGCTGACACTGGCGGCTGAGTGCTGGGAGGTGTCAGCCGGGCAGGGAGGTAGGGCTTGTTCTAGGCAGCTCAGACAGGAAGCGAACTCTTCCCAGTCAGAGAGGTGCCAAGACCGCCTGTGTGCTCCTAGAGAAGCAGGGTTGCCCCTCTACCCAAGGAGGAGGCACCCTTGGTACTGCCACAGGTGGGCTTGCTCTGAGCATTAGATGCCGTGTCGGGGCCAGGCCTGCAGAGGCTGTTGAGAAATCTTTGTGACTGGCCTCTGCCTATGAATGCCCCCCTCTCAGGGTTGGAGTAATGAGAGTTTTGGGAGTCTTTCTTCTTATTTTCTTCTACAGCTGGTTTGGGGCCCTGGCCCTAGCTGCCTGCTGTGCTCCCACCTCTGGGTGCAGAGAGGGTTAGGGAAGGGCCTTCGGGCTGAGAACCCCACCCTGCCCTGTCATTTTGTTGGTGGCTGAGCTTGCCCACTGCTCAGTCACCAGGGGCCTGATTTCTCTGCAGCCACAGGCCTGCTTGGGAGGCTGGGGAGGGTGGTGCAGGGCTGGCTGTACAAGGAAAGCGCTTCCCCAGCCCCAGCCTCACCTCAGCTCCGCCTGGTGCCTCTCCTGCTGCCCCGCCAATTTCTCGCCCCCCTGCTGCTCCCTGCTGCCTGGGCCTGGCCTGATGCTGGAGTGACCCAGGCTGCAGACAGAGGAGCCTACGCAACTGTGTTTGCCCAGTCTGCCCTGCCTGCTTCTTTGAGTGCTCTCTCTCCTCTCTCGTTACCCTTCCCTCCTCAGAGCACCTGGTGGGGCTCCCCAGGCTGGACAGGCTTCTCTGCATGCATGGAGGAGCCCAGTTCCTGGTTCTGCTGTCTTCAGAGACAGCAGTGACCCCCGGAAGGGCCGGCCCGGTGCCTCTCTTTGTAGAGGTCAGTGAGTTTGACCCCAAGCCTCCAGCTGCAATGTGGAGAGCACCCCAGTTCTTTCTTCCTTTGTAGTTTTGGTGCTGGGGCTTGAATCCAGGGCAGCACATGCTAAGCACGCGGTCTCGTTCTGTGCTACCTTTCAAGCCTCCGTGGACACTGCCATTCCGTCAGGGAGGGCCTGTCAGCAGAGGGGCAGGAGTGGCAGCCTCGGTGGCCCAGGTGCCGCCTGGGTGGAGGTGGTTTTGGAGTAGGCGTGACCCCTCCCACGACCCTGCCTCCAGATGACGCGGGCTGCTGAAGGCAGGAGGCTGAGAGGGGTCTGGCTGAGCAGGAGCCGGAGCTGCCAAGGCCCATGTTTTACACCACAGGTTGTTCTGAGCGTGTTGGCTCAGGGGAAGGCAAGTGGGCCTGGCAGGCTGACACCCCTGCCCCTGATGGTGGCCTTGTTATTTATAATCTTTGTGGACAGTCAGCAAATGAGTCAAACGTTTGTAACCCACAGGGGGGGCAGCTAACTTTTATGTATGCTTTCCTTTGTGTGTCACTGCACTATTTATAACTGTCCTGGGGAAGACTTCGCAGCACATCCGGACTTCCCGTCCCCACGGGTGCTGTGGCACAATGGTGGTGACATTCGCCCCCTGCACTGGCTAATTGGAAAGCTATTTGGTGGCCTTGTGTTTCCCCCATTTAGCTTTCAGGAGTGGAGATTTGTGAGGCTGTCATCAGAAGACCTGCTTTAAAAAAAAGAAAAAAAAAGGTCAAAAGAAGCAAAGAAAAAGCAATTTGAGTCACCTATGTCATGCATCTGAGCCCAGGATGGAAACGGAAAATCAGCATGGAGAGCTGTGATTCCATCGCAGTTCTTTGTGAAACACGCTTGGGGGGTGAGTGTGTGTGTGTGTGTGCGCGCGCGGTGGCTGTGCAGTGATGAAACCACTTTACTCAGCTCAGTGACAGGGAGACTAGCACCTTCATTGGTAGATGTTTTTCTCCTTTTTTTTTAAACCCCAAAGGGAGAGAGAGAGGGAAGACAGTGAGGGTGAGGATTCTGACTGTGCTGTTCTCAGGAGCTGTGGGGAGGGAAATTCTAGCGTCTGTCCGTTCTCAGGTGAGGAGGTGGCGGCTCCGCCCGGAGCTCCTGGGACCTGTGAAGTGGGAGGTGGGCAGGGGCCGCACAGCTCGTGGCACCCAGAGCTGCGTGGTGAGTGTTGCCTGCGGTGGGCGGGATGGTGGGCTGCTCTCTGAGCTGGGCCCTGCTGCCCAGGTCCTGGAGTAGGTGGTGCTGTGGCTCCAAAGCAGATGAGGTAACAGCCCAGGCCAGGGAAGCTTGAGTTCTTGCCTTTCCCTTCCTGCTGCCCCTGCTGGCTTTTTTTTTTTTTTTAAACAGGGCTAGGAATTGAATCCACAGCCTCATGCCTTCCAGGGAATTGCTCTACCACTGAGTTATACTCTGAGCCCAAATGGCTTATATTTTTAAGAGACAAATCAGGGTCTGTAGGCCTAGCCCCCATCTGTGGGTCTGTAGATCCTGGTGATGTGAACAGCTGGACAAGGGGAACTTTACCAGAGAGAGGAAAGAAGGGCTGGGAAGTACAGACGCCAAGAGAGGCCAGGCAAGGGCACCTGGGCGGGGGGCCAGTCCGGGAGGTTGGGACAGTCCATGGCGACCCTCAAGATGCTGCCCTCAGGACAGCCTGGACGCGGGGCAGCATGGTGAGGTGTGGGGTGCAGAGCACACAGGAGCCCACGCTCCCCAGGGAGGGCAGTAGGACCCCTAAAGCTGCGTGCAGCTGCACCCACAGCCCTTACCTCACCGCTGCCCAGCTCTGCCCTGTCCTCACTCCACAGCCCTGGCTGTGTGGTCACTGCTTCTCGGGTGGGCCACTTGGGCTCAGCGTCTTCCATCCTGCCACGGATGTCCCTGCAGCTCCCCTCCTTGGACCCAGAGGCCTCCCAGCAAACCATGTTCCACAGTGAGACGGCGGAGGCCACGGTTTCGTGCTCTTCTT